GGTTCCAAGGATTTCTTGCTGCTATCAGCAAGTGCCTTGTGGGCAACATTGTGGCTTCTAAAAGCTCTCCTGCTTCTAAAGTAAGAACAATTAGTTTCTGATTGAGTTCTCTGCATTTAAAAACATGAGTCTTAGTACCCAAGCTTTGTAACACCTTTCTTTGTTGTTGTTTTTCCTGGTCCTTGGTGGGATTCCTGACATGGGCCCTTGACTTCTAAGTGTTTTTCATTTAACCGAGTTGTGATCACAAAAGTCCACACAGAGCAAAGGAGGGAGCTGAGTAATCTGGGAGAAGCACATGGGGACTCAGGAGCTGCCTGGTCCTAGTGGCACTGGTTTCTGCAGCCTGGGAATTGGCAGGCAGCAGGTGGCGGCAGGAGAGTTACATAGCGATTCTAAAGTACAGTTGGCAGAGGGAGTGTGAGCCCTGGGAGAAAGCTCAGCTTGTAGCATTAATGGGCAAGAATCCTTCCTTGAGCTGAGCAGTTACCATTGTGCTGGGCAGTTAATGCACATTATCTCATTTAATCCTCACAAACCACACAAGTCTCTCTATGTTCTAAGCGGGAGGAAACGGAGGCTTAGAGAAGTGAGGTCACCCAGCCAGTAAGCTGTAAGGCCAGGCTCTCTGACTTCAAAGTTTGCACCCCTTTGCCTGAATCCTCCAGCAGAGGACTTGGGCTCAGAGAAGGGGAGGCCAGGTGGAACAGGGAGGAGGCGGGTGGTCCTTCAAAGCCTGCCTGCTGAGCTGGGTCATGACTTCACTGGGGCTCCTGACCTGGAGGTCCTCTCACTGGATAGATTAGAGACCCTTATTGTGGGGCTGAAATCCTGCTCAGTGGGCCTTTCTCCACTGGGCCCATTGAATTTTAGAGCCCTAAGTGTGTAGATCTCAGAGAAGAAAAACAATTGACTCAAAGCTTATACCCGACTTACCAGCGGAATGTCATCCCAGGGAGAAACTTATACATCATGGTTAAAAGAAAGCTTCCAGCCAGCGCTCCACTCTTTAAAGACAATACAGAACTCTCCAGCTAGCTTTCAGGTGTGGTGAATACAGATGTGCCTTTGATGGCTTCTTCATCTTTAACACCAGAGAATTCAAACCACAGGGATTTAAACCACCAAAGAATTTAATTTGGAGAGAAATCATATGCATATAATGATGTAATGCTTATGACAAATGGTCATACCCTCTCCCAGGGGGTTTGCTGGAAGTGCAGATTCCTGGACCTCCTATCTGAGAGTCTGATTCAGTAGGCCCTGTACTGGGACCCAGGAATCTGCATTTTAATGAGTCCTCCAGGTGATTCCAAGGTTCAACCTGTGAAAAATACTCCACCAGAAAACATACTAGAGGGCATGTCTGTGAACATAAAGAATATGGGAAGACCTCCCTCATTCCTTAAAAAATTATCATTAGCTATCCCCTTCTGAAATAACTGAGAGTCAAGGTGGGAATAAGAGCCCCTACAGAAGATTGCAACTAGCTGGAACGTGGAGTCTTGCTTAGAAGAGCACAGTGATTAGGGCTTTGGGGTGAGACCTCTGTGAATTGGAACTCTTGTGCTGCCATTTCCGAGCTAAACAAAGATGGGCACATTAGAGAAGTCTGAGCCATGGTTTTCTCATCTGTAAAGTGAGAATAGGATCCCAATCTCCTAGGCTGGGAGAACTAGGTAAGGTCATGCTTGTAAAGTACTCTGTTTGGTGCTGTGCCTGGAGCAAGCACTCATCAACGAGGCCGTATTATTCTTGTTGCTGCTTCCTAATATTCCCCAGAACTATGCAAACTCCGGATTATTGACCAGATAGTATTTAGCGACAGATTTGCTATAGTTGTTGTAACAGACTTTACGAGGGCACGTCTTAATCTGTGTTTCAATCATAGTAGATGCCCAACAAGCATCTATTCGTTGAACACAGTATATTGATGACCTAGTCCCAATCCTCTAATTTTAAAGATGTGGAAAGTGAGGGTTCAAGAGGTTATTTGACTTAGCGACGGTCACGCAACTAATTGAAAATGAGTATCTAGTGTTAAATTTACCCTAGGCTTGATGCTTAGATAAGTCACAGAAGAGTGGCTGAGAGCACAGGCTGTGCACAATCCGGGTCCCCCTCCCAGCTCTGCCATTTTCCGCTGTGGGGAAATATCTTAACTTTCCTTAGCGTCCAGTTCTTCATCTGTAAACAGTGGGGGTAAAACAGTAGCTGCTGCACATGGTCACTGGAGAGATGAAATAAAAAGATACATATGGTGCTCAGCGCACTCAACCGTGTTCCCTTCATTTGTATGTAATCCCCCAGCAGATTCAGGTGTGGTGCTAGGCACAAGGGAGGGGGGTTCCTGGGGCAAGAGGACACTGTGGGACTCTATAAGCCCCACCACGTGGACTGTTCTCAGCCCTGGGCCTGACACTGAGCACAGGTGGTTATGGTGGTTGGAGGTGGTAGGGCCCTCTTCCTCAGAGTGCTCCCATCCCAGGGGCCCCCTCCATGCCACGTGGAGGGACAGCATCTTTCAGTTGGAGGGGCAATAATGCAACCCAGAATCCTGTCCCTGCCGTCCCCAGTCAGGAAAAATCTCCTTCACCAATTCCTACCCCACCTTCCTCCCACCTTTGCTCCTGGTCCAGGTCATCTCTGCTCTCTGCGGGCAGATAAGGGCATCAGGACAGGGCTGCCTGTTATGACTAGATTTTATTTAGAACCATGAATACATTTCACGGATCTTGTTTAGTTTAGTTGAGCCTTAGGGAGGTACAGTGAATTCCAGTGAGGAAAAACCAGGAAGAAATGGTCTAATCACTGTTTATAAGTCTTCACTCTTTTACCAACTGGGATAGACAGAAACCCAAGCGGGGTGATAGTTGTTCTCTGGGATGCAAAAAAGTTTGCCAAATAAAATTAGAAACCTACTTAAAAATATATCTAAGATTAGACCACTCTGTGCGTATTGTTCCGGGTGAATACCCAGCTTAAGACTAAGATCAGTTTTCTCTCTGCTCCCCCACCCTCCCCACCTAAGTGAAATCAACATGAGGTGGTAGAGAGCAGAAATTTAAGCCATAGACAAAAAGCACTGCCACTTGTTCTCAGGATCGCATCCCTGGTGCCGCCTAAGTGAAACCTTTAAGCAAAAGGCCTTCATCACAGCCAGTATGGGTTCTAGTGCAGGGAAGGTCAGATTTATTGCGAGATCTCAAAGGTAATAAGTCTAATTTCCATGACAAAAGTCAAGTGAATAATTCATCTTCAGCAAACCACAAAAATAATAAACCCTGTTTGGGCTCCTACCAAGCTAGCCTGTGGGCACTTTGACTTGTGATCTCATTCCTGGGCACCTTTTAGTCTCTGGAATTCACAAAAATTATTGGAAACAGCTTGCAAGTTACAATTTTTTTTTTTTTTTGCAGTACATGGGCCTCTCACTGTTGTGGCCTCTCCCATTGCGGAGCACAGGCTCATCGGCCATGGCTCACGGGCCCAGCCGCTCCGCGGCATGTGGGATCTTCCCGGACCAGAGCACGAACCCGTGTCCCCTGCATCGGCAGGTGAACTCTCAACCACTGCGCCACCAGGGAAGCCCGCAAGTTACAATTTCATTAAATGCAAAGCAGTAGGAGGAAACCAATTTCTCTTTTCCCCATTTCACTACTTGACAAGCCTCTTTAGGACAAAGATAACTCATCCTTCTTTGTTATCAAAGTCAGAGAAAATGCAACCAGCATGATTTTAAAAATGGAAATAGGAAGAGTTGTCAGAATATGGTTTTATGAAGGATATGCAATTTTCCTTTTGGTTCACTCAAATTTCCTTTCTCATTTCCCAACCGCAAAATAACCCAGTTTCCATCTCATAAGGGCTCCTTACCTGGAGAAAGAACCAGTGCATTACTTAAAAAATTTTTGATAATGATTTTAGAGATGACTTTTAGTATACTATTTAAACAAGCTAGCACATTAATGAGGTATGACCTATTATAGCACTGGGGCGGTAACTCACCTTGGAAAGGAAAGCAGTGTGTGGTCTCAATAGTTGGGTAGGAGGAAGGAAGGAAAGAGGAGCCTTTTCTGTGGCTTCCAACCCTGCAGGCCCTTCCAGACAGACCTCCCTCCAGGCTGCTTTATGCTATGTTCCTCAGCCTCTTAACCCCAGGTCTTTGCATATGCTGTTCCCTCTTCCTGTCAGAATTCCCTTCTGCTAACCAGTAATGGCCCCCTTCAGTCCTCTACTCACTCATGACTTCCTCATGGAAACCTTCCCTGTCCTCTTGACCACATACATTCCCTCTATTTTATGTTGACATAGCATCACTCTCCCTGTGGTACTTATCATGGTGAAATGTTATACTTTTCACTGGTCCTCCGGATCCCTGGATGCAAAACCCATGGATGCAGGACCCATGGGACTGACTGTGAGGGACTTGAGCATCCCAGGATTTTGGTAGCTGCGAGAGTCCTGGAACCAGTTCCCTGCAGATACCAAAGGATGGCTGTATTTAAGTATGTATTTCTCTGATTAACGTCAGTTTCTGCCACTTGAGCCTTAACTCCTTGAGGGTAGGAATAGTGCCAGCGTTTTCTGGTGGCTGACACAGAATAAGTGCTTAAGTATTTGTGGAATGAGTGAATTCTTGAAGCAAAGTTTTCCGAAGACTTGATAAAGCTGTTAGCAGCTAGTTAATGTGATTTTAAAACCATGTCTGTCCTCATAGTGACTCAGGATAGTAAGAAGATGCTCGAAAAAAACCAAAAAAACCCACAGGTAACAAAAAGCCCCAGGGCACAAAAGGGAGCAGAAGCCCAATTTCTCACGTGGCTAAGCTCCTCAAACCCTATTTGGTTGAACTTGTATCCCTTGTGTGAATATGGCTGCCAGTTGGTTTACTGATGGGTATTTTGTAATTGGTGGATTTTAACCCTAACAAATAAATGATAATAATTAACATTAATATATGAACTACTTGAGTTCAAGTCTTGTTCCCCATTTTCTAGGTGTGCACCTTTGGGACACGTATATAACCACCCGATGCACATCGTTGGTGACCTATGAGCATATCTACCTCAGCAGTGGGAATGGGCCCTAGTACGTGAGAATGTGCCTTAAACAGTGTCTGGCACATAGTAAGTACTGAATAAATATTAGGTATTTGCATTACTCTTCCTTTACTATTATATGTCATACCTTGCTTTAAGAGATTTACATGTGTTATTTACATAATTTAATTATTAATGAAATCCATAATTCTTACAGGTGTGGGAACTGAGGAGTGCAGAATGGGAAGACTACTGAGGCTACTTAGAGATGCCTCTCCCAGTGCTCCTTCAGGATGCTGCTTCCATCTATGTTAAGCCCTGAGTTAACTCTGCAGAGAGGCCCCCAGTCACACAGGTGAGGCTGGTGGAATTGCCCCTTCACTTCGTGGGTACAGAAATCTCTCCTTCCCCTGCCCACAGTCTCTTCCAAGTTACTGCAGATCTACCCATCTGGGGCCATGGAGATATTTCACTTCCTTCCTCTGAATTTACAAGCACTTCTCTGAGTCCAAATGAAGGCCAAACAGTGGGCAGGACGTTGGAGGGGACCTCACTGGTTGGACTAGCATTGTTGATCACTAAAACAAACACTTCCTGTTGTCCCGAGCATACAGGGAAGACCATGGTTCATGTGGGCTGGAAAAGAATGAAAAAGGAGCAGCAAAGAAACCCAGCTGCAAAGCCACTGCCTTGTGCTGACTGCTTTCCAGGAGTTAAATATAGCTCCTGTGTGAGGGAGGCAGAGGGGGTGGCGAGGTCACCTTGAAAGGCTTTTGTGTGTGTTAATTACAGCTTATGCAGGAAACTGAATATCATTCATGCTGAAGAAAATAGTACAGTTTGACTCCCTGGGAGAGAAACCCAAATCCTGAGGGAAGTGGTAAAGAAGAGTGGAAGATTTGGGATTTGGTAGGAGAGTATCTGGTTTGGGTTCTGACTCCTCCTACTTGCTAGTGTGGAACCTGGGGTAAGTCAGCCCCTCTGAGCATCATTTTCCTCTTCTGTTAAGAAGGGATTTAGAATCCCCACGTGCAGGTTTGTGGGAGGGGAAACGGGGAATGGTGGGGTAAGAGTTTGTAAACCGTAGGGATTTTTACTGGGGATGGACACGTTCCTCTGTAGCACAATTCTCTGATGTACTCGTTTCAGGAAGACAGGGAGGCAAGAGGTCAGGGGGGTTGCAGGTCAGTGGGGAAGCAGGTTGTGGGGATGTTTTGGGGTGACTCACTTCCTGGGAGTCAGGCCAGGGTGACAGGCTCAGGGAAACACCCTGCATCTTAATGGCCTTTTGAGCAGCAGCTCTGCCCAGGTCTTGTCATCCACCAGGACACCTCTCGTTCTGGACACCTTGTTTCTCAGCCCTGGGCGGCCAGGGAAGCGGTAGCTCCCTCTCATCAAGACATTTCCAGACAGGAGGGGGTGGGGCAAGCCACCGACTTCCGAGGAAATAACTTTTGGCTGTGGGACTGGGCTCTCCCAGAATTGTTCCTTTGTGTGCAGATTCCTCCCTGTTTAGCTCACAAAGGAAATGGTTCCAGGAGGAAGTGGAAAACTGTGACACACATGCTCAGGCCTCACACACAAGATGGCAGCTGTTTCCATTTGCGGCAGTCCCTATCATCTCCTTTACTAAAAGGAGTGGCCTGGGATACCCAACGATAAAGGCAGGTCGTGTTTTTGAGCTCTTAAGTGATGTTCCAGATGTTATGCTAAGCATTTTGCATGGACTGCTTCATTTAATTCTCATAATGGCCCTGTGAGGTAGTTGCTGTTCTTCACCCTCTGTTTTACACATGAACCAAATGAGGCTCAGAGAGGCACAGTTGTTTGTCTAAAGGCACATGGCAAGCAGAACCAAGATTCAAACCTAGACCTAAGTCTAAGGCCTAAACGTCCAGTTGCTGCATAATAATTCCTTCTTGCTGCCTTCTTCTAACAGAGGTTCCTTACCTCCAAAGCTTGATGGAACCAGCAGTGAGTCCCTCACAACCATTCCCCACTGGTGCCTATTCATAGGATGGGTGCCTGGTCTGAAGCCTAGATGGGGCTGGGCTTTCTGCTTCTGAGAAGTTTGAGTTTGAGGACCCACCTCACCAATAGCCTGGGACAGACATCGAAGATGTCTGGCTAGGGGTTTGCGAATAATGCACATAATAATAAAGATACCCAAGGATGGCAGTGAACATTTATTGAACACTTCTTACAATCTGGGCTCTGGGCCTAACACTTTTATTTCTTTTTATAAATTAGGACTTCATGTGGACAAAACTTGGGTTAATCCTAATCCTTGCTTCATGAGACACTCATCATTGGTCCATGCATGCTCCACTTTTATTTAGTTATTTATTTATGTAATCAGTTATTTTTGCTAATGTAGTAAGTATCCACAAATCTACCATGCAAAGCAAAAGCCTGAATCCAGATGATATCATACATCTAACTATGATCCCATGCTTCTGCTTCCCCCTCCAACCTAACTGCCATCCTGAATGCTGTATTCAACACATCCTTGCTTTCCCTTGTAGACTGCAACTAGATATACCCATACAAAATTTTAGTTGCTTTAAACTTTATTAAAAGGGCATAATGCTATAGGTAATCTTTTGTGACTTTTTTCTTTACCATGATACTGCTAAGGTTTATCCATAGCATTGCCTGTCACTGTGTTCATTCATTGTGCTGTATGATATTCCACTGCGGGAAGATTCTCCATGACTAACACTCTGTGCCTATTACGTCATTTAATCTTTGCAACAACCCCACGTGGTAGGAGCTCTTCTTATCACAGTTTTACTGACAAGAAACTCTGAGCCCTAGAGAGTCTAAAGAACTTGCTGGAGGTCATAGGTGCCAGGTTTGCATCTTTCTGGCCCCCACTGTATGCTGTGTTTTGGTGTAGAGGAGAAAGCACAGGAACTAGAGCCAAAAGCCCTGGGCTCAAGGTCCAGCTCCACACTTACTGGCTGTGTGGCCTTGGGCAAGTTGCCTCATGCCTCTGAGCCTCAATTTCCTCAACATTGAAGTGGGGTGATGGTAACTGCCCTATCTACCTCTCAGGCCTGTTGTGAGACTCAAATCTTACAATGTCTGTGAAAAGTGACAGCACTCTGTAAACTGAAGTTTTGTAAATCGGTACATTGTGATAAATGATCTATGTGCCATCTGCTCCCCTCCCCACCAGTCAAACAAAAATAACCTGTGTAGGATTCAAGAGATGAGACTGAACAGCATCCCTATTCAGAAAGGCAAGGATTAGGTTGACAATCAGCCCACAGAAGTCTTAGTGTGATTCAAGAATCAGAAAATCGTCAGTAGAGGCCTCAGGCTGCACTAATGGGAACGGAGTATGTATTTATCTTTGTTCTGTTCAATGGAGTTTAAAAAAATATTACTTTTTTTTTTTTTTTTTTTTTTTTACTATTTCTTACCTATTTTCAATATCTGAGGCCCTACCCCATTACTCTTTGCTTGTGGTGTTTCCTCTGCATGGCTTGTTCTCCAACCACTATCCCCTATTAGCTGTGTGTCCCTGGGCAAATTACTTCACTTCTCTGTGTCACCTCATCTGAATAATGGGGATAATAACAATACCTACACCTTACAGGGCTGCCATGAAGATCCAGTGAGGTGTTATATGGACTGTTTAGAACAGTTCCTGACACATACAGAATTGACTATTATTATTTAAAGTCTCCCCTACTCCCCTGAGAGTGCCCACTTACGTTTTGACAATTGGTTTAGAGGCCACTTCCTCCAGGAGGCCAGTCCTGCCTTCCTGCACAGGTAAGGGCACCCTGTTATAGCCTCCAGAGCAGACAATTTGTTCATCTTCCTCCATTAAAGTGTGAACAGTGAGAGTAGAGATGATGCCTGATTTAATATCTGCCACCGCTGCCCAGTGCCCAGTACCGTAATGGGCACACAGCAGGTGCACTGCAGAGGGATTAACTAACAGCCTGAATTCAGAGGAACAACCACAGATGAAGGAGGGGGCTATTAATCCTGTCTATGACAACCATCTCCAAGAGCAGAAGGGCTCATGGGGATGGGGGAAGAGGGAAGGTGGGGCAGACTTGTTCTCTGGGGCTCTGGAGGGCGGTCCTGGAACAGTGGTGGCCGCTTAAGACCATATTATTAGGTTCACTGTATATAGGAACTCTCCAGAATTCTGAACTAAGAAGAGAGCCAGGTGGGCTGAGCCCAGGTGGACGGTGCCTTGGCAGGAATGTGGGGGTGTGTTAGTCAGTGGGTAACTGTGACACTGGGTGACTGGGGTGAGAAACATGCAGAATCACACCTGGGATTTGTCCTCCCTAGCCCAGCGACCCGAGGCAGGTGACGTCAGTTTTCTCATCTGTGAAGCAGAGGTAAGGAGAGCAGTCATGTCAGAAGGTTGTGGTGAGCAGAAAGGGAGATAATGTATGAAAAGTGTTAAGCTCTGTGCCAAGCACATATGAAACCTTTTGCAAAGGTTGGTTATTACTATTAATGTTGTTGCTGTTGCTAGTAATCACAGGGGATTCAGGCATTACCCAGAGGTTAGTCTAGACATTCTAGATGGGAGGCTAAATGTTAGGCTCAGAATGGCCACCCTGACTGCTGCCCAGGTGGAAGGTCCACCCTCTTCCCTCTCTTCCTTCCTTCGCCTTGCCTGCAAAAGCCTTCCAGTGGTAACCATGGATTATGTTCTGGGCCAGGTCCCTGTGAATGCAGCCCACAGAGAGCCCAGCCACCCCGGGCAGGCTTTGGGAGATGCCTAGGGTGATTCCTGCCTCTAGGGCTGGGGGTGGGATCAAGAAAATGATGGTTGAAGGTCCTGGGAAAGAATGTCTTGAGTCTTAAAGAACCCCAGACAGATGTCTCCTTTGCTCTCCCATTAGATCAACAATTCTATACACTTAACTCTATTTGAAAATGGACAGAGTGTGAAGTTTTATGTTTCCCTGTTCTTAACTTAAACTTGAAGGTGAGTTAATCTTACACAATTTGCTGCTCACCTGCAGTATTTGCTGTAGTTCCTAACTGGCCTCTTCTCTTCAATCTCTCCCTTTCTACTCTGATGTGAGCTTTCATTGCCCCCAAATGGCAACACAGCATAACCCCCTCCTGCTTGTACCTTGTCAATAGCTCCCCAGGGCCCAGACACCAGTTTCCTTTGTGACTCAGATGATGAAAGATCTTCACATGCTCCCTGTACTCGCTGTGGTTTATCATCATTCCCTCTGTAATTCCATCCCTTCCCAGGATGGGCAGGCAAGAAGTGAAAGGGAAAGCATCAGAGAGAGAACTTGGAATCCATTCTGATTTTTTAAGAAAGGCGATCATTTGTAGACCTGTAGTTTAAGCATTAACTTTTTTTTTTTAATTGTATGCTTCCTGCATGCTGAGTGCTTTTCTTGCACAAATCCAATTATTCCCCATAGTAGACAGGAGATTGTTATCTCCATTTTTAGTTGAAGAAACTGAGACTTGGGATTAAGTGGAAGAAGTAGAGCTGGGATTCAAACCCTGGCAACCTGACACTGCAGCCAGTGCACTCAGCTCCCACATTATGCTGCCTCTATTATTAGTTACCAATCACACTCTCAGTTATGGACCTGGATGATAAGGCCCTACTTGAGGCTCCATTTTACCTCTACCTGCTTCTCTGGGCTGTAAGCATGCTGACCATTTTGTGCCCTGAGCATGGCTTCTGTGCCTCTCTTCTTTCTACTCTGCCATTTTCTCCACCTGGAATGCTGTTCCCCCAGTGTTTCTGAGGTTCCTGGCTAGAAAGTGTCCCTTGAGTCTTCTGGGCCTTTATTTATTCTGTTTGATGGACACTGGCCAGATATGACCTCATGTCACAGGAATTGGTGACAGAGTCTTAGTTTCTCTGCCTCACTAGGAGATTTGGAGGTGCAGGGACCCTACACTTCCCCTCTGTTACTCCTTAGAGCTACAGCTGATTGCTGGCTGGAGGTGAGGAAATGCGATTGGTCCCTCCAGCTTCCCAGCACACTCCTAGATCATTTTTCTTCTTGGTTCAAGTAAAGCTAAAATAAAATCCCCCTTGGTTTCATATCAGCTGGATCTGCTCTTTGCAAACCCTTCAACAAGAATGGGCAGGAAGAATAAATATTTATTCTACAAATGAATAAATCTGATTCCATCTTCAAAAGAAAGCCTAGTATAAATTATCATAATTTCTCCGTTCTAAGATTTCACTGATTTAAAGATATTTTATCTGCTAAATAATAGCTTTTTGAAAAAAAAATCAGAAAAATGAACAAATTAATATATCAAATTTAAGATACGTTCTGATTTAAAAAGTATGTCTTGGTATCAATGAAATATTTTTTAAAATATGGTCCAATTCAATTTTGATTTTTTTCTTTTGATTCTGGTGGTGTCAAAAAGAAGGCTCCAAGCCTTGACTAAATCACTGTGAAGCATGGGCAGGTGTCAGCCATGTCCCAGCCCTGAACCCCTGGGGGTTGCTGGGTCAACAAGGGCATGGCAGACCAATCACATACCAATGGCAGCCCTGAGGCCCCCAAGGCCAGTAGACAGGTTTTCTCCCCAGCAGATCTATGTCCATGCTCTGCTGACACCTCATGACCATGTTAGTGGTTCTGGGGAAAGCTGACTAGGAGTCCATCATGTGATCTTAGGCAAGACACCGCCGCTTGAGCCTCAGTTTTCCCAGTTGTAAAGTGAGAGGCATAAGGTTAGATAGGCGGTTTTCAAATGTTCTTCAGATGGAGCTTTGGGATCTGGGAGGCTTCTTTAGGGGCTGCCTTGGGAGTAGGAAGATGGAATGGACTGTACTCAGTATTTCCATCCCCACTTCCCCCAGAGCAAGTCTTTGCTTAAGATTTTGTTTGCAAAAAGTAGTTTGAAAAACACTGGTAAATGGCATTCTGGGGTCTTTCCAACATTAGTCTTGAATATATACTCTTGTATGATCTAAGGGCAGTGCTTCATTTCTCAGCCTGGACACACCCTCAGAATCCTTCTCACCACAGACACTCCCAGACTCACTGCAGTTTAATCAAGGGGTTGGCAAGCTTTTTGTGTAAAGGACCAGATAGTAGCTACTTTAGGCTTTTCAGGCCACATGTGGGCGGAGCCTCTGTTGCAAATACTCAATAGCAAGAAAGCAGCCATAGACAATACATAATGAATGCCCATGGCTGTGTGCCAATAAAACTTTATTTAAAAAAGACGTGGTGGACTGGATTTGGTCTACCAGCTGAGGTGTGCTGATACCTGGGCTATAATAAATACTTCAGCCTGACATGTGAAGAAATTGAAGCCCAAGGAGGGGATTCAAGGAACTGGATTTGGTTGGAACCCCTGTCCCCCGGACAGCGAGCATGCTTCCACCACTCCACGCTGCTCACTTAGCCATGACCCTTACCCTGATTTGGATTGTGGGCATCTGAGATTACATGGTTGAGGGAACGGTGCCTGGAAAAGACATGTGCCCCACTTCTCCCTCTCAGGATATCAGTTTTCTCCTAGGTTCTTAGAGGGCTATAAAAAGCCTCTGAGCTTGCCTCCTGTGGGACGTGCTGTCGGTAAATTCCCCAGAGCTGGAATGACTGCAATGTGGTGCCACATTCTGCCCCCTCTGCAGCCTGACAGCTGTGCAGGGAGAAGAATCAGGCCTGGCAGGCTCTGCCTCTCCACTCCCACTTGGGGTGTGGCTGGGATTCCCCAAGTGGAATTTTAGATGGAGGACAAACCCTGCCTGGGCCCTCCTGGGGCAGGCTCTTTGCCAGTTCCAGGAGGATGAGTGTTTCTTGAATTCTAAACACCAAAACTCCAAGGGCCACAGTGGGAAGAGTGTAAAGGGTAAGAAGCAAAAATCTCACACCAGCTGCCTGGCCATACCATTCATTGATGGAGGGTGTCTCTCCTGGAATTGTTTAGATCCCCTTTCCCTCCCATGCTTCCCACCTTGAAATCTTTACCTAGTAAGTCCTTGTGGCTTATCTGGCAAGTCCTTCACATAATTGACCTGGGAATGCCCCTCTCCACTGGAGAAGCAGTGGAGAGCAATGGTAAAGAATTTATGTTTGGAGGTGGGCAGGGCTGAGTGAATAAATCGACCTAAGCCTCAGTTTCTTCATCTGTAAAATGGTGATATTTTAAAAAATACATACACAACACATTTTAAAGTAGGTGCTGAAAATAAATTACAGTAAATAAACTTAAAATGCATCAGATGGCAAAGTCATGATGAACATTCCCATTGAATTCTGTTGGGAGGTGGTGGTGGTGAGACTGCAGGGCTCAGGGAAGATAAATATCACAAATGTATCCAAAACTTCAAATTACCTATGCATTCACACACTGACATGGGCCACAAACATGCCTTCACGAGAACTGTACTTACTAGTCTACCACAGAACCAGATTTTGCCATAAACTACAAAATTTTTAATACCAAGTTGTATTTATATCTTTAAAATTGATATACATGCCCTAGCCGTGATTTTAGAAAATAAAAGCTGTACTCTGTACAGACACTGTCCACTCACAACTGCTGGCAACATTTTTGGATGGCATTTCTCCCCCAGTAAAATTAATGGCATATTTTATGTACATGAAAGTCAAACTGCACCAACTTCATGATTGTTGAGAGAATTAAATGGCTCAATGTCCATATGTAAACTGCCTGACTCATGGTGAGCGCTCAGTTGGCTATTATTAAACATCTTCTATGTGCTAGACACTGGAACTGAGATGTAGAGACAGTCTCAGAGCACAGGTTCATATACACACAGAGGAGGCATTTAAGTTAGTACAATACAGTCTTCTAAAAGCTGAGACCTGAGGAGCGTGGTGCTAACCCAAAGTCAGTGGGAAGGTCGAGGGAGGATGTGGCAGGTAGTTTTCATGGAGGTGATGCTGAGTGGTCTCTTTCAGGGAGAGGGAATAGCAGAGTCATCTTTTTGAACCTCAGTTTTTACATCTGTCCAATGGGGAGAATGTCTCAGCTGACCCCTTCACAAGGCTTTTGCCAGAGTTAAGAAAAGAAGAGAAACTCAAGGCTGAAAGGGTTCCAGAGAAAGGATTTTAGTGGTCAATTCTCTGTTTGAATATCCCTGCTATTACACAGGTTCCTTCTGGCCCAGAGTGACCCCCCTGTGGACGACTGCCGAGTGAGAGCATGCATGATTACCAGAGGTTGCCCAAGCTCCAAAGGAAGAACTCCATGATCAACACCCCTGACACTATGTGGAAATGGACACGACTGATGAATGTGAAAAGGTTTCTAGAACTTAAAAGCTTTATAAAAATGTATGTACTTATATTGCAGAAGTGAGTGGCTGAGCCAGCGCTAGGATGTGGGATTTCTGCTTCTGTGTCCAGATCCATTCCCCAGCTGGCCCTGTGTGCTGGCACATTTATTGGAGGTTTGTCTTCTCAGGCTAGAGTTCACAGACCCTGGGAGTCCATGGCAGAGGGCAGGGTGGGGTTAGGGAAGAAACCCCGAGAAAAATACAGTGTGTCTCTGGAAGTCCACTGCACAAAGATTTTTTGGGGGTGTTTGTTCAGTTATGTTATGGACGATAATAGAAATTTGTTTGACTTTAGATCAAATGAGACATTTCAAGCTTTTGGAAGACACTTTGGGTAACAGACCCAAACCCTAGAGTTTCACTTGGTTGAAAAGTGTGAAAGGCAGTGCTAGAGCAAGTAATGGAATCAAGCAAGGTGTTTGAGCAAGGTCAAGGGTTATGATAAACCAGTGCACTAGAACAGTGAGCATATCAGACTCACCTGAAGCTTTGCAAGAAGTACACATTCCCAAACCTCACTCCAGACCCACTGATCAGACCTCTGGGGGTATAGTTTCAGTAGGCTCCCTAGGAGATGATTCTGGGCCCAGCTGGATTCGAGAACCACTGCTTTAGACAATAGAGAGTGGTCCTTAAGGGAGGTTGGACATGCAAGAGTAGAAACAGGAAGCTCCTGTAGGAGATGACAGGATATAGGAGAAACCATCCAGAATACGTTTTTCAGTAACAGTCCACAGAATTAGGGGTGTGATTGCAAAAAGGATGAAAGCAAAGGAAACAATGAATAATGACGAAGTCTGTGTTTCTGTCCCCAAAATAGGAATCATTGAAATGGAAAATCCTGGAGCTGAAAGTGGCCGTATCCAGCTCTACTCTGTGAATTTTGTATTTTTTCTTTTATTTATTCATCATCTCAACAGACATGTTTTGCGAATATACTACATGCAAATTACTACATTGGGTGCTAGGAAAAGAACTGTGAACAAGGTAAGAAGGACCCTGCCCTCACAGAGCTCACATTAACAGGTAATTCATTCCCATAATTAATCATAACTGCAAAGATGGTAACCAATGAGACGTACAGAGTGCTAGGGTTACCTGTAATGGGGGATGTAGCTTGGGAGACAGGGAAAGATTGTCTTGAGGAAGTAATGTTTGAGCAGATCACTAAGGATGAGCAGGAAGGAGTTAACCTGGTGAAGGTACAAAGGCCAGTGTGAGGAGAGCCCATAGTAAGAGATGGGCAGGGGCCCAAAGTGAGTTGGTGACAGGCAGGGTGGGTCCTTGAGGGCCACCACCAGGACTGTAGTCTATATCTTAAGAACAATGAGAAACCGTTAAAGAGGTTAAGTACAATCAGATCTACAGCTTTAAGTAACTGTCTTTAATTGCATCCTCTTCTTCCCAAATTCTATCCACAAGCATAGATAATTCGTAAGTCCCATTAAAAGCTATGATATATTGCACATTTGAATAAAAGATGAATGCTTCAGGGCTTCCCTGGTGGCGTAGTGGTTGAGAGTCCTCCTGCCGATGCAGGGGACATGGGTTCGTGCCCCGGTCCAGGAAGATCCCACATGCCGTGAAGCGGCTGGGCCCATGAGCCATGACCGCTGAGCCTGCGCGTCCGGAGCCTGTGCTCCGCAACGGGAGAGGCCACAACAGTGAGAGGCCCGCGTACCGCAAAAAAAAAAAAAGATGAATGCTTCAGGTTGAAGTATATACTCCTACAAGTCCTGTTCTCTATAGTTTGCAAAAGGGTCATGCCTATGGAAACCTCTTGAATTGAGTGACAGTTGTTTTAACTTATATATTACTGTGATCCCTATTACTGTGATAGGAGCCACTCTGGGGCTCCCTGATCTGTGGCCACTCAGCCTCTGCTTCATTATGTTCCTGGGCACCTCCTACTCTGTCATTGAATAGCTCTTTTCATTTGTATGCTTCTCCCAGATTGTGCCCCAGTTGGTCTGTGTTTAACCTCTTGTATAGCCTTCTGGAGAGTCTTTCTATTACCTCTTCTACAGGACAGCTAGTTTGAGAACTGATCTCATGTACCCCTTTCAAATTTAGTCTTATTCACAAACAGCCCCATTTCCTTCAATAGCTCCTCACGTGATCGTGTTGTTAACAGAAAAAGAGAAACAGGAAGGGTGATCTGATTTGGTGGTGAATAAGATGAGTTCAAAATTGGGTCACTTGGAGGTTGAGTTGACTTCCAAATGGAAACTTCCACAGGCAGGAGCCAGTGCAGGAGAGTGGAGCTCAACTCATGGCTGAAAATGGACATTAAGAGTAGACGTCATAGGGCTTCCCTGGTGGCGCAGTGGTTGAGAGTCCGCCTGCTGATGCAGGGGACAAGGGTTCGTGCCCCGGTCCGGGAAGATCCCACATGCCGTGGAGCGGATGTGCCCGTGAGCCATGGCCGCTGAGCCTGCGCGTCCGGAGCCTGTGCTCCGCAACGGGAGAGACCACAACAGTGAGAGGCCCACGTACCGCAAAAAAAAAAAAAAAAAAAAAAAAAAAAGACTAGACGTCATAATGGGGCTTGGTTGTCTCCAGGTGTGAGTTTAGAGAGAGGGCTGAGGTGGTGGGGAGAGAGGGGCAAGAGCCATCAAAGAAGAAAAAGTGAGCTAGAGAAAAGATGGGAAATAACAGTTAGTAAGCACTTATCATGGGCCAGGTGCTGGGTGCTGGGCATATATTACCACATTGCAGTCTCCCAATTTTGGGTGTCATTATTCCTGCTTTTCAGACTAGCAGAATAAGACTTAGTTGGGTCACTTGCCTTAGGGCAAGAGAAGCCCAGAGGCTATGAGCACCTATAACAGTGGGATTGGAGGTGGGAGAAGGAGAGGCAGAAAAGCCTTCTGGCAGAGGGATGGAGCAGTGGTTAACCTAGGTTTATCGGATTGCAAAATCCATGCTTTCTCCATCTTTGCAAATAGGAGAATCCATTTAGAAAAGCGTAGAGGGTCAGAGCTACAGAGAGGCCCAGAAGATGGGACTGGGAAGGGTGAAAAATTAGACAAAATGGAAGCCGTTTGTGACCCTTAGATGTGGGCTTTCAGCAGAAGGTGTGACTGGAAGTGAGACTGCAGGGAGGGAAAGAAGTGTGTGGGAAGAAACAGGAAGCTGCTGTTGGTGTGTATGGTAGTGGGGTTTTATTTTTCTGTTCAATTGCAAGGTTTTTGCAGAAGGGTAAGAAGGGTATGAGAAGCTAATGGTATCCAAAAACAGGGTTGTTTTTCCGAACCAAAGATCAGAATGAAATAATGATAGGCTCTTGGCAGAGAGTGGAGAGGGAAGAACTTACTCGGCAGGGTACTCACCCATGTGAGAAGTGGGGTTTGAAACTGATAGTTGAGGGAGAGGCAGAATAAACCCTGTGTGGGACAAGGCAGTGGAAGTGAAGTCTAGTGCCAGCAGAAGCCTCTTCAGGGAAGAGAGTAAGGTTAAATCCTATACATACAACCATTGCAGAGTGTGGCTAAAATCCAAGTAATTATATTTGATAAATGTAACATCTATCATATACTGAATGTTTCCTAAGTGCTACCTTACATGCATTACCTTTTCCCATGACACGCCAAATGAAATGAAACTGACATTCAGAGAAATTAAGTAATTTATCCAATTCATACAAGATCATACAGCTAGGAAGTCGTGGTCAAAGCCTAAATTTGTCCATTCTCTGAATGACTCAGCTCTACTGAGTCTCCAGGCCGACAAAGATGACCTTATGGAACATGTTTGTAGGGAAAACATGTATATGGGTGCATGTTCCTTTTGGAAGAACAGTAATTGATAGGAGTAGAGAATGAACTCAGATGTCAGGGAAGAGGTATGGGAATTCACAGCCTTGGGGACAGATGTTGGGCAATGAGTCATGGATGGGAGCTCATCATAGGAATGGCTATGGGCTACTTGGCCAATGGAAGCCACAGATAGGGAAGATGTGGCTTCCCTAATATAGATTTCAAAGCTGGTCCAACAAAGGCAAGACACGAGTAGGTTCTTCTAGCATCTCTTAAATAATAAAAATATCACTTAGTGAAAAGCAGAGCTTCAGATTATGTCTTGAGTTGCCCAGGAGACAATATGATCTCCCAAAGAATATAATTCAGCAGAAGAAACTCCCATCTTGGGTTGAATGCAACTAGTTGAAAAAGAACTAGTTGTAAAGTAGAAAGGAAAGGAAATTTGGGGAAATTGATTGTTTCATATGAGCTAGGCATATCAGATACAACCTTGGACATTAAGAAGGTGTATTAAAAATTAGAGAAAATTTAGACCAAAGGCTTTAAAGCAAAGAACTCGAGAAGACTAGAAAGTTCACAAAAGCAAAAAGACACAACCATAGTCAGCAGGCAGGAATAAATAGAATAAATAAGAGAAAATAGACACATTGGCCTTATATATTAATATTTTGTCAGTCACTCAGAAACTCTCATCAAATGGTTCAGTTATTGCACGTCAGAGATGGATTTCCGAGAGACACGCACCATGAAGGAGCTCCACGGATACAGAAATTATGACATGGTCGCTGTCTTTGAGTTGTATACAAAGTTGTCTAGCCCAGTTCTTAAGAAGGAGTAGGGACTCAAAAAGTGTCCTCAGAGTCAGACCAGCTTGGGGCCAATAGAATTTTATTATGTTGAATCTGATTAACGAAAGACTGTAATTATTACAATAGCCAGCATTTATTGTTGGTTCTCATATGCTAGGCATTATTTGAAGTATTTTCCATATACTTAATATTTATAACAACCCCAAGAAGTAGACATCATCAGTATCCATATTTTATCCTCATTAGAAGATAAAGAGTTAAGTTACTGGTCCTGTAGAAGGTGGTGGCCATAATCATTAGTCTGTAGTGAAGGTGGTATCTTCACCAATGGCTGATTCTCTTTGAATGATATTCATGAATTGGGAAGTCCTGCTGGAAGGAATTTCATTATAATGTAAGTGGTTTCTGTGTCTGTTACTATATGAATCCTGCTTTACTCATGGGAAGACACATATCCTGTTAGACTAGAAATCCTACTTCCCAGGTTTGTTTTCATTCTCAAGTCAGTTGACTTTGATGACGAGCTTCTATGCTGTAATTGCTACTGAAGATCTGAACAGTATAGTTGTGGTGTAATGGAGGTGCCTGGACCTGCAGCAGGAAGATTTGGCATCCAAGCCCTACTCTAGAGGCAGCCAGCAGCAAGCTTAAGATCAGGACTTTGGTTCAAACCCAGCTCTGTCTCTCACATGGCAAGTGACTGTATAAGTTAAAGTCAGTGATCTAATCCTGCTGTTACGGACTGAATTGTGTCCCCCCCCCCCCCCACCCCAATCCATACATTGAAGCCCTAACCCCCAGTGTGACTGCATTTGGAGATAGGGCCTTTAAGGAGGTAATTAAGGTTAAATGAGGTCATAAAGGTGGGCCCTAATCTAACAGGACTGATGCCCTTCCAAGAAGAGGAAGAGACACCAGAGATCTCTCTCTCTTTTTTTCTCTCTCTGTGCACAGGGAAGAGGCCATGTGAGGACACAGTGAGAAGGCAGCCATATACAAGCCTGGAAGAGAGGCTTCACCAGAAATCAACCCAGATGGCACCTTGATCTTAGACTTCTAGCTTCCTGAACTGTAAGGATATAATTTGTTGTTTGAGCCACCCAGTCTGTGGTATTTTGTTATGGCAGCCCTAGCTGACTAATACACTGCCAAGCCTGCTTTCCTGTGAGGTAGGGATTAATGACAGTACCTAGTCATAGCCCCATCCCATCGCTTTTTCCAAGAGAAGCCATGTAAAAAGCTGAGCATGTTGCCTGGCTCATGATAAGACCTTGATGATTTCAGTTGTTACTGTTATTAATAGTGAAGTGTGGTTTCCTTCCCTGGGCATGACAGTCCCACTCCCCACGTGGTCGGTTTGGGGCTGAAATGAGACCTGTGCTTCTTAAAATTTCCCTGGCAAAAGAAGAGAGTGCTCACACCCTCCTGGGGATATGGGCACAAGAAGGAATTTCCACTGGAATGATCTGTGAAGTCTCTCACATTTTATCTTAAAAACCCACACAGATTTTGCATTATAGTTCATATATAGTTTTAATTCGTACAGTGTTTGCAGTAGTTTCTCAGGGTAGACAGCTGAGGATCTAGACACATGACCTGGTCCTGTGTGCCTCATCCACTTCACTCGCATTTGCGCAGGCCTTTGCAAGTCACAAAGAATTGTTCTGATGTGAGGATTTTGTGGTATGTATTTTTAAAAATCAGCATTACAATTAATCAACTTGGGATACACTATAAAGTGTGTTTCATATTACTAATGAACTACTTGAACCACTGTTAGTGAGCTCCTACTGTGTGCCAGGCATTGGTGTCAGCAGGGTGACCACTCAGATCCACTCCCAACCTTCCGGAAGCTTACATTCTGGCAGGGTAGGTCGACACTAAACACATAGTCGGATAACTAACTCTTAGAGTAATGGCACATCGTGACAAGGGCTATGAAGGAGAAGGAAAGTAGGCTAGGAAAGCCCGTAGCAGGGGAGAAGGTCAGAGCCCTAGAGCATTCTGAGTACTAATAGATTCCCGGGAAGTCTGGCTTCCTAGGAAGAGGGGTCTGGAAGCAGCCTTCTTGAGTGAGGCATCAGTTATTAAGCATTTTAAACTGAGTGAATTATTATCACTCATGGTCTGTCAAAGCTCTGGATGGTCTGTTTTCCACAGCTCCAGGTAGGCTAGTTATAGGGATTTTGTACTGGGGACAGGGTGGTATTTGGCAACTTTTGGGGTGTGATGGGGTGAAGGGCAGTGCTCTTTGCTTTAAATGTACAATGTGGGAAATGGGGATGGGGGACTGAGGGATATTAGCGGTGCCTCTTCTCTCTTTTCTTTTTCCTCCCTGGCGAGTGCGTCTGCTCTTTGCAGACTTGTCCAGGAGTCAGTTAACAGGTGAGAACTGCTTTACAAATCACAGCCTCGGTCCCCAAAGAGCCAAACAGAAGCCCCCCTCCATTTTTTGCCTGCCCTTCCAGCTCCTAATAGAGGGTGGATGCAGCATTTTGTGTGTTGGAGATGGTGTGGGTGGGGAAGTTGTCCCCAGCACCTTGACCTGGAAGTCTGGGGTCCCCTGTAGCCCTATGAACTCTGGCTTTACCCGTAACAGGGGTGCAGGGAGGTTACCCCGACACCTGCTCGTCTTCTCATCCCTGCCCCCACTGTCCTTCCTAATTACTTCCACACCCCTGGCCACTCCTTTTTTTCCCCTTGGAGGCCTTACCACAGCAAACAGGCAGATGGAGGAAGGGTGTAAGATTATTGTAGGGAAGGGGAGGAATTTTCCACTAATAATAATAATAATAACAAGAATAATAATGCTTCTCATGTTGGCACAGCACTCCAGTTTACCAAGTGCATTCACACCTGTGATCTCCTTGGATTCCAGATGTGGGAAGTTATGACACTGGTGTTCTGGTTGTCAGCCTTTGACACTGCCCCCATGTTCAAGCAGGCCACCTTTTTTACAGACATGAGCCCATTGAGGTGTCCAGGCCTTTACTTAAGCACAGGCCCCAATGAATGCCCCCCATAAATGCCCTCTCTTTGCTCCTGTCAATTGCAGTTTCAACAAGCCCCCACCATGTCTGTGAAACTTTATCAAATACTCTCAACTCCTGAAAAAGAGTCCAAGCAAAAAAGGGTCTCAGAGACCATGTGGTCTAACCTCATCACTAGCCCAGAGAGAAAAAGGGTAGGTTAAGGTCACGCAGCTTGTCAGGAACAGAGCCAGGGCTCGGACACCCATGTGCCACCCACACACACTCCTGCAGCTCCTCCTCCCGATACCCTGGGTAGCTGCACACTTCGTCTCCTGGGGCTTCTCAGCGTGCGAACAGTAGGGGCTTCACATGTCCAGTGGTTTTCAAGAGTGTGACTCGTTAGCCCTATTTTACTTTTGGTGGGGGTTGGGGGGAGGTGGGATGGGGTCAGAGGAGCTCGCCGTCCTCAGGAATCCTGTGGGGCATTCTTTTATGAAGTTAAGACTCCAAGTGTATGAAAACGTTGGTTTCACAAACAGGAGGCGACTCAGCTCCGGGACGAGTCCCTAACACACGAGTCCCTAACAGACCCCTAGCTGCCCTGGCCCAGGAGGCACCTGTACCCACAGCGCCCGGCCTTCGACCCCCCCTACCCGCTCCACGCGCCCACGCGCCCACGCTTCTCACCCCGGCCCCACCGCCCGTCTCTCCCTTGTCCTCTCTGGCCTCTAGATCGTTCGGTTCTCCCCTCCCCACCAAGCAACAAGTGTGGGCACCACTTTTCTTCTTACCGCGGCCTCGGTCCATGGCGCCAGCGATCGATCGCGCGGAGCAGGGCGCGGTGCCTCCGGCGGGGCCGGCGGCTGCGGGCGTGCGGCGCTCTCCAGTCCCGCCCGCTGGAGCGCCCTCCGCGCGTCCCCTCCCCCGACAGGATGCTCGCCCAGCGCCTCCGCCCGCCCTCGCCTGCCCCTGCACGCTGCTCCCGGAATAGACCCGGAGCCCGCCTCGCCCCCTGGGCCGCGGTGTCCCTGGTCCCGCACACGCTCCGCGCCACGCCCTGCCTTTCGCAAGTCCTCATGCCCCTCCGTGAGGGGCTAGAGGACCCACATCCCAGTTCACACGCTTTCTTTCGTACCCGCGCCCGTGCTTCCCACCCCCGTCCAGACCAAGGCGTTGTTCAGCTCTGCTTGCATTACGCTAGTGACGAGGGGCTTACTACTGCACTTCCCAGCCCGGTCCATTTTCAGATTGTACAGACTGTTAGAACCTGTTTTTCAACAGTGGAATCAAAATCTCTTTGCCTGCAGCTGCCACCCATTTCCTGGCTTTTGGTTTATCTTCTCCATTAAACAGGTTTTTCCTGGGCACCTTCTAGTGCGAGACAGTGGACCAAACTCTATGCTGGTACAGTGTCAATAATGGTGTAAAAGAGGAGTGAAGTAATAAAGATCTTTAAAAAATAAAACTACCTAGGAAAAGGAGAGAAAGAGAGGATTGCTAAAAGGTGGGCAATGGCTTGGGACACATCCAACTTTCGAGGTTCCCTGTGCACTAAAACGTGAAGAATGCCAACACGGAGTGATAAAAATTGTGGAAATGAACACTTTTTTAGCATACAAATGCAGTGCAATGTTAAGTGTGCTCTTCCCAAAATAATTACAGGATGTAGAAAAAATATTGCTATGGCCAGTGTGGTCAGGAATGGGATTTAAGTTTAAAGTTGTATGAAGAATGTCAACATCTTTCATCCTATTAGTGTGTCTCTGTGAAAGTAGGTCCGAACCGTTTATAGATAATATGAAATGTCCAAATTTAAGACCCTTCATAAAGTGAAGTCCAGGCCTAGTTCTCCTTCTAGACACTCCTCCTCCCCAAGATAGGCCAGGTCACAGTTTGAAGTTTTGGCTAGGCCACTCCTTTACTTAGAACATTCTGGCATTGGGACCATCTTGTGCAAAGGCACAAGGGAGGACTTGGGAAAAAGCATCCTGCGTTTTCCTGGCCTGGGACTATTTCCTCCATTGCTTTGATGGGCAAGTTGAAATTAGCCCTGGCTTCGCCAGATTGCATCAGTAGTTTGTTTAGTATATCTGTGTATGAGCACAGAGGAAATATGGTGTAGTGAAAAAACAGCGGGATTGGAGTCTGAAAACTTGTGTGTGATCTCTTGCTCTTCTAATTACTAAGTGTACAACTTTAAGCCTTTGAGGTTTGCTTGCTCATCTGTGCTGTGGGAAACCTCATAATGACCTCATAAGGCTGTTAGGAGGGCAAATGAAATGATGCTAGAAACCCACTTTGTAATCCTTAAATAGCTGTGAGCCGTTATTGTTTGCCAATTCCTCTTTGTTCCTGCCCACTTTTCCAATTTGAAAAGGTCAGTTTAAATTCTAAAGCAGACAACCAACGATTTACAAGTGGGTTAACTTCTAAAAGTTCACTGTTTGAATTCTGAAACACTTGGAAACAAGGCTATAAATTGTAGTCAAGTTTCCAGGCTAGCCCATTTATACTTTAAAAAGCATAATATTTCACTTGAAGTAAATTTTAAAAATATGTAAAACGTAACTGTTGCAAGAACAGATGGAGGCTTAGAACTTTTAGAAACTTTAAGAAACTTTCAGACTCTGGATGTTTAGAAGAGAATTGGAACAGAAAAATCAAAAAAGCTAAAGGGAATTTATATGCACCTATGGAAGAATTTTTGGGGTGGAATTAACTGATCTGTGGTCTAGGAAAGATGTAAAAATGGGATTAACTGAGCTGTGGTCTAGGAAAGATGTAAAAATGGGAGAACACAGTCTGTGCACAGTTTTCCTAAGGATTAACAAAAAGAAGTCACTCTGAAGGTGTAGTGGTTCTGGTTTAATAATTACCCATAATGCCCACTAGGTGGCACTGTTGACTAAATTGACTACAGCTTGGTTGCTGTTAGGAAACTGGGTGAGGTGGATGAGGAGGCTGTGGGTTTGGGACAAGGAATAACTATATATTTTTTTCTGTACTTTTCCTTTACTTAGGCCTATAGTCACCATAAAAACTATCCCCACTTTTCATCAGTCCACTTAGGAACATTTGTTGCATTCTGTGCCAATTTCT